CCTTTTGTTATTATTATGCTCGGCCATCTCATGGTAGCCATCAATTTGCTTTTGTAAGTGATTCAACTCCCGGACAGACAAGGACATAACTCAGGGAGCCTACCAGGGCAGATCTCTGCAAAGCCTTAGCAAGGAGGGAATACATTGTATACAGCAGCAGCAAAATATAAGCCCAACAATTACAAACACAGCATAACCGAAAAGTTGTCGCAGCCATCCTAGAGAGGGCAGCCATCCTGTAAGCCAATCCCAAAAGCCCTCAAACCCCAGATCTTGGCATATGTGTGCTGTAAGATTGGCCAATTCGGCCAGTCTAGTTTCTATGGAGCGACTATTATCAGTTAAATTAAAGCAACACATGTGCTGAAACGTGGAGCAGCCTAGATGGTGTTTCAGGAGCAAAAAATCAATGGCTGCTCTGTTATCCAAAATTGCATCCCTTAATTCGTGTTGCTCTGTGTTAAGTAGGGCAATTGCCTGGGATGTTGTATTAATTGCCTTTGCCGCAAAGCATGCCAGGTTATTTAAAGTTCTGGCTGTATAAATGGCAAGCGTGGGGACCCCAACAATAGAGGCCGCTAAAGCAGTATACTCAGCACGACTAAAAAGCTCAACATCTGCAATACAATCATCTGAAAGGGGTACACTTCTTCTACTACGTTTTTGACCAGCAAAAGGCAATATAAGTGTCATTCTACTAAGACAGCAAAGGGTGCCATCACTTAAATTTGCAGGAATATAATTAAAGGTGCGTGAACCGTAGGTAAAAAACCATACTGATGGTAGGATGATATGGCCATAATTGTATGAAACATTTACGGCGTGGGAACAATTTAAAAAGGGTTGAGAAACTTGCCGACAGCCCAAGGGCACCCTTGTACTAGTGCAGTTAACCACACATGCACAGGTGACATTGTTGGCCCCGGCCGGGTACGGTGTGTGGAGGGATATGGCTGTGTGAGACAAAGTATAATTGGCCGGGCCCCAATTAGCCATACCAGAGTATTGGGAAGAGAGATTCGCGTAAGCAGCGAGCATCGTCTCATTCCCTATTTCTTCAGGGTGATGACATACTGGGATAAGGCATGTACCCAACAATTCTCCAGCTGCTACAGAATTAGATAAACAAAAGTGGGTAACATTTGCTATTGAAGCCAATCTTTCCCATAGGTTATATGTCATTCGGGCTCATAACGGAGAAAGCGCTCCCGAGCCAACCCCTACAGGAAATAGCAGGCACAAAAGGCATACAATCAATACAGAATTAGCAGTAATTTGGGCAAGAATTGCCACAAACAAAGTCTCAGGGGTTTCTGGCTGTTGGTTTGCTGCCAGCCGTCATTGAGCCGCGGCGACCAATGCTTTTACTGCTCCCCATGTCACGGGCTGGCTTGGGACACTACGCCTCTTCCGTTTCCGTCCCTTCGTTGTCGACCCGGGAGGCACCGCTCCCTCCTCCAGGGTCAGCTGAAACTCCGGTATGGGGTTCGATAGTCGCTGGTGCCATGCCATGCTGCTTCAGTGCCGGTCGCACACACCGGGCCAGAACCCACAACGGTCCTGTAGGGAGAGACACAGCAGCATATCCCCGACCCCAAGTGATTAGAGGTACTGGGCCCAGCCATTGCGGATCAGGCAGCTGACGGTAATAGACACGTGGTCTTTCCAGCACCTCGGATTTATGAAAATGCCGATCCGCGGGGGTCTGCTGATCTGCGTTTAGCGTTAAGTTATTTAAAGTGAACAAAAGGATATGCAATTGTTGCTGAATGTCTCCCAAGGTTCGGAGACGCAGCTCCCCTTGTTTTAATTGTTTGTCAAGCAAGGTTTTTAGTGTGCGATTTGCACGTTCAACAATGGCTTGGCCCATGGAGTTATAAGGGATCCCGTGTGTGAGACGGACGTCCCATTGGACACAAAAGGCGGAAAGGGCTGTGGAGCAGTAGGCTGGGGCATTATCTGTTTTTATTTGGCTCGGGCGACCCATAACAGCAAAACAGGCTAGCAGATGGTGAATAACTTTAGGAGTGGCTTCCCCATGCTGTGGGGTTGCCCAGAGGAATCCCGAATAGGTATCAGTGGAAACATGTAAAAACGAATAGGGGCGGAATTGTGGCACATGAGTAACATCCATTTGCCACAGCTGATTTGCTGCGGTACCTCGGGGGTTAACGGCATAAGAGAAAGTAGGAGCAGCAGCAGCACAGTGGGGGCAGGAACGAACAATGGAACGTGCATGATCAGCAGGAATGTGAAACTGCCGGGCCAAAACAGAGGCAGACTGATGAAAAAAGGCATGGCTTTCAATGGGGTCAGAAAAAAGAGAATTTACCTCACCACGTAACACGCGATCGGCGCGCGCATTGCCTTCAGTGAGTAGCCCAGGCAGAGGGGTATGACTGCGAATATGAGCAACAAAGTACGGGAAATTATGAGTGGTGATGAGATACTGTAAAGACAAAAACAGGCGAAGGAGGTCTGCATCGACCTGAGGGGTAATGAGGGCTAGGGGTAAATGATCAATTACTTGATAAACATAATGGGTGTCCACAATTAAATTAAAGGGACAATCAACAAAAAGTTGAAAGGCCAAAACAACAGCAGCCAATTCTGAGCGCTGCGCAGAACGCTGAGGCAGCGTAAAGCGAGAATGCCAACGAGGGGGGTCACCTAATTGATAGGTGACAACACCGCGACGTGGAGAGCCATCAGTAAAAAGAGTGACGGCTGAAACAATGGGTTGAGAGCGACTAAGACGATGGACAACCAGGGGCACCTGTTGGGTAATTACCAATCGGGGATCTTTAGGGGGATTATAAGAGATCTCTCCCATATAATCACAAAGAGCAACCTGCCAGGCCAAGGAGGTGTGGCACAAAGAGTCAAATTCAGTACGGGACAAGGGGAGCACAATGGCAACTAAATCAGTGCCAGTAAGTTGCATTGGACGGTGGCGGGCTTTACGAACAAGATCAGATAGGGCATCTAAATACGGGTAAATATTTCGAGGGGGGGTGGATGAAAGGTACAGCCACTCTATAATAGAGACGGCTGTGTCTGTACGGGGTACAAACAGAGCCGCAGTTGGCGTATGAGGGGTGGCAAGAAGAACCAACCGTAAGGGACGGACCTCTGGGAGTCTGTCCACAAACTGCTGACTCAATGCTGCATTGATTTGTCGAATGCAGGCAGTATGCTTTTCAGTGATGGCAATAACTGCACCCAGTGCCCGGGCTCCACGCAGGAGCTCGAACAACGGCTGCAGCACTGAAGTGGGGAGACGAAAGTAGGGCCGAATCCAATTTAAATGACCCAAAACTTGTTGTAATTTAACAAGGGTTAGGGGTTGAGGTAGAATTAGTTCCAGACGAACCGGAGCAGCATAGGTTTGTAAAACCTTATGTCCGAGGTAGTGGTAGGGATAAGAGCGTTGGATTTTTTCTGGTGCCACTAATAGGCCATTTTGGCCGAGAATCTTGGACAGAGATTCAAGTTGTTCTGCCGTAACCTGGGGACCACTAAGCAAAATGTCATCCATATAATGGTAGACCTTTAGTGTGGGGTACCGGGCACGAAAAGGAGCAAGGGGCCGATCCACAAAGAGCTGACACAAGGTCGGACTATTTTGCATTCCCTGGGGCAAAACTTTCCATTGATACCTATGAGAGGGTTGCTGATTATTATATTGTGGCACCGTAAACACGAATTTTTCGCGGTCTTGTGGGCAAAGAGGAATAGTGAAAAAACAATCCTTTAAATCTAACACACAAAGCTGATCGGTTTGAGGAATTAAATTCGGGTTCGGTAAGCCAAATTGTAAGGGGCCCATAGGTTGGATGCGTTTATTTATTTCCCTTAGATCATGTAACAGCCGCCATGCACCCGATTTTTCCTTAATAACGAACACGGGGTGTTCCAGGGACTAGTGGAGCGTTCCAAGCGCTGCGCATGCAAATGTTGCTGCACCAGCGAATGAAGTGCTCTCAGCTTCTCTAGAGGGAGGGGCCACTGGTCAATCCGTACGGGCTCTAAGGATTGCCACACCAAGGGTAATGCTGAAGGCATGGTGGGTGCGGGAGGGTTTTGGGCCATTAGATATTAATATCGAGGGTGGTGTCCAGCTTTGTAAGCAAGTCACGGCCCCAAATATTGAGGTGGACAGGGAGCACAAAAGGACGGATTGTAGCAAGGGCACGGCCTCCCGGTTTAGAGACCGTGACCCAAGACAAACTTTGGCGCCCGGGTTTACTACCCCCAATCCCCCACAACTCCTTAGAAGGAACTGTTGGCCAACTGACCGGCCACTCCAGATCACGAATCACCGTAACGTCAGCTCCAGTGTCCACCAGCGCTGTAAAGGGAACATCATTTAAGAGAAGTGTTAACTGAGGTTTCGAGGGGCGGACCGACATTGTTAGAGCAACAAGTGGAGAGGACGTGTTGTGAGATGGCGACTGAGCCAGCGTCGATCCAAAGCCGCCTCCGCCCCGGTCTCGATCCTCCGCAGCTGGCACCTGATAGGGGACTAAAATCAATTGTGCAATTGACTGTCCACGCGGGAGCGACTGTGGAAGATGAGTCCACACCTGAACCTTAATAATGCCTGTGTAGTCAGCATCAATGACCCCTGGAATGACAAAAAAGCCCTGTTTCCCAGCATGTGAGCGAGGGAGAATGAGACTCACAAAGCCGGCAGGGAGAGGTCCCGTCACCTGTGTAGGTATAGCACAGACCTCCCCTGGCAGCCAAAAGTCAGTGTCCTCCTGCATGATCAAATCAAGCCCTGCACTTCCAGCAGTCGCCGCCCTCATAGAGTCTATGGATTTTAAGGCAGAGGAGCGGTTGTCTGAGTGGGAAACACCCCCGTTTGGCCCTGGGTTCGGGGGAGACCCGTCGCGCGGTTTCCCGACCCGCTACGACACTGATTAGCCCAGTGATAGCCCTTCCGACACTTGGGGCACTTCTTTGAGGGGCGGGCGGGCGCCGTCGATGAGCGGCACTCCCGCTGAAAATGACCCTCCTTACCACAGCGGTAACAACGCTTCCCCTCCTTCCCAGTTTTTCTCAGGGCGGCAGCCAGAACTCCAGCCTTGTGGGCTTGTGTGCCAATGTTCTGGCACGCCCGCAGCATGTCTGAGAGCTCTAAAATACCAGAGACTTGTGCTGCCTGGAGAGCACGGCGGCAATCCTCATTTGCATTTTCAACTGCCAATTTTAACAGGAGCTCGTGAGCTGCCTCAGTGTTATCCACCTGTCGGAGGATAGCCTCCTGCAATCTGTTGGTAAAATCCAAAAAGGACTCTGAGGCACCCTGACGGATACTGACAAAGCTTTTGGTAGGCTTGCCTGAATCCGGGACCTTCTTGAAAGCATGCTGGGCACAGGTGGAAATAATGGGGAAGACAGCCTGAGGGAGTTGAGACTGCATCTCAATAGTAGCAAACGGGCCCTCCCCTGCCAAATGCTCATAAATGATACCGTGCTCTCTATGTACCTGAGCTTGGCGTTCTGCCATCTGCCGATACTCACTAACCCAAATAACATACTGACTGGGTGATAACATCATGCGCAGCAGCGTTTTCCAATCCTCAGGGATTAGGGAGTACCCAGTACCTATCCCTGCAACGAGACCACGCACAAAGGTGCTAGTCAGGCCAAACTCACGAATTGCTTTCTTTACCTCTCTAACCACCGAGTATGGCAAAGTGGTCCAGGTGCCCACGGGGTTGCCCTGGTCATCATTCTGCCAGGTCACCGGGCAAACTGAGACCAGATCAGCCAGCTCCTCCGCTGTAAGATCTGAGCGAGTCTTCGCTGCATGGACCATTCGTTGCACCAGCGAAAGCCCCTGAGCAGATGCGGATGACCCTCTGGGGGGCCCCACGGGGGGAGGGTGATCACACACCGGCTCCGGTGGGGAAGGCCAGGGGGGCGGTGGTAATAGAGGCCCTGGGGGCGAAGCAGGGGGAGGGATGGTTGCAGGAGTGGACGGGGGTGGCGAGATCACCAACATCGCGAGGGAGGGTCTGTCCGAGGCGACACGCTGTATCGCGTCGCGGCAGAGGTGCCAGGCATGTAAAGCCTGCATGGGCGCCCGAGGCTCCTCGTGCAATGTCTGGCCCAACCGCTCCCAGTCCGCTAAGTTAAGGGTTCCAGCTTCAGGGTACCACGGGCACTGGGCACTCACCTCCTGTAGCAGGAGAGCAAGCTCTCTAGTGGGACAGTCATGCTGAGCCTTACGCAACAAATACTGTAGCTCACAGCGGTGTTGCACTTGCAAAGCAGAGAGGGAACTTCCCATACCGGGATCCGCGAAGCGGATGAGTGACGCGTCTGAAACCCTTGCCGGGCGAGGTGAGTGCTGAGGGCCCCACGTTTGGGCGCCAGTTGTGGCAGTTCAATACAAGACAGGACACGGCTTTAGGCAAGCAAGCAGGCTGGTCTGCTGATGGGATCTTTCCTGTCAGCTTTTCCACCTCTTTTATTTCTCTCCCCCCCTGCGCATCACATACCCCAACCGACCGCAAAAGGCATCAACAAAGGAAATAATAAGACTTTGATTAATATTCCTATTTACTAGCCTCTATCTACTACAATCTTTATTCTCAGGCCTTGAGCTTCGGCCGAGGAAGCTTCCCACGTCTGATGTCCTTATTTTGACTTCCCAGATGGTCCATGTTTTCATGGTCCATGTCCTTGGATAGAACAGAGCAATGTGTGCATTGCTCCTACACAACAGTCAGGGTGTGCCCTGACTGTTTCCAGGTGCATGAACGCTACATGAACCCTTCAGCAGTGCATATGAACAATATCAAATTTGGCAGTTTCAGAGGATGAAGTTCTCTCTATCAACAGAACAAATACAGGATTTACATTGGCAATGTAAATCTGCCCTCCCACTCCCCCCAGTCTCCTGCCAACATACCTCAACCAAGATTTAGAGGCACTATCACTAAGGTTAAGCGGATATTCATTCTCTCTGCCAATTGAGAGAATGGCCTCTCTGCTCAGAATGTCACTCAGCTGACCACTTAGCAGTTTAAAACCACTGTCTTTTAGAAATGTTGACACTTGGGATGTGGCCAAATAGCCATAGAATGGTAATAAGAATCACTTTCATCCACTGCAAATTTAAGCTGGCTTGAACTGTTGACCTAAAAATAAAGGGCCCTCTTCTCATTAACATGGTCCCTTCATGTTTGCTCTTCATTATATGCCAAAATATATTTAATGAGTCAAATAAATTGCACATTTTAAATCTATGCATTGTATATTTGATGATAGCATCAAAGATGTTGATTTTGATATCAGAAACATATGAAATAGAAGTCAAGATTAAGGCATGGTGCTGGTGCCTTCATTAACCGAAAACTCCAGCTGAGTTCACTGGGCACCTGTAGCCATGGAGGGAGGGAGCCAAGTGAAGGAAACTGGAACTAAGAACTTTGAGTTGATAAAAAGACAACAGCTGAAGGACAGGGCACAGAGTAAGGCTGAACCCCAGTCCCAAAGGTTGGGGTATCTGGGATAAGCTAGGCCTACCTAAGCCTATAAGTAGATGTAGATATAGATAGATAAATGCCAAGGCCTTTTATTGTACTTAACACCCTTTTCTCTCGTTATGATTTGTTCCTACTGTTAAGATTAAACAATAATTCATTTTGGAAAGTCTGTTTTGCGTCACTCTATTCACTGTTGGTCACAGCTCCCCAGGGGAAGACTTGTAAGCGCCATACCTGGTTGGACTTGCTGAAGAATCACGTTTGGCACACAGGGGCACTGTAGCCCTGGCCTTGGTCTAAGAGTGGGATAACAACAGATTCCACCCTGGGGTAGATAAAACAGCACAGCAAAAGTGATCCTTTTAGAGAGATCTACTTGGGATATTCCTGCTCTCCCTCCCCAGCTGCTGCAGAATCCCTCATAGTGCACCTCCCAGTTGCCAAGACCAAGTACTGGTGTAATGCTTTGCCTTCCATGCAGAGTACAGACATGCTGATATTCCATAGAGATACATAATAAAAAGACACCATTTGCAAAAGTAAGGAAGCAAGGGAATCTGATTTACGAACAACAGCCAATCTGTTGGCAGGTACAAGTGAGAACAACTAAGCTATGGATTGTGACTTTCCCAACCAACAATGGATATGAAAAGGAAAGGAGAGAGCAAAAGACTATCCTGGCATCATGCTAATCCCTGAGAATAAGTGACAGGCATTTTGAATGGCCTTCTCTCCCTTAACTGTGCAATTAATGCTTGTATTTCTTTTGATGAAGGAACAAAATTAATCATTAAGAGGAATATGACTGTTGCAAATGCAAGATTAAATGAAGCAATACAAAATAGATTCTTGTCTTCTATATCTGATCAACAAAGTATGATAAATAAAACAAATCTTCCTTGTGGAAGAAAAAGCAAAAAAAAAAAAGTTATCTTGAATTCCTTATTTTATTTTAAAATAAATTCTATCATGATTAATAAGGTCCAGTAGTTTAGTATGTGTCTGCGGTTTGTGTCTGGGGCTTGTTTTTGGAATGAATAGGAAACTTCTCTTTCCCAGGATCAGCAGGGCTCACAAAGGGTTGAGATAAAAGAAGATAGTAAGTGGTTTTTGAATGACTTTGACCTTTACTACACTTATGCCTAGTGTGCAAGAAGTGATGATTTCTTTTCTTTCTTTTGAGAGATAGAAGGGTTAGATAGTACTGTTCTGTGCTGTGGGACGCTATGGTGAGAATGGTGCTAAAATGAGTGAGTGAAGTCTAGCTTTGTAAGTGACAGTTTGGCTATGGAATGATTGCAGAGGTGTATGTCATAGCATATACGTGGGAAAAGCAGGAGAGGAAAGTGTATTCATAATTATTCCTCTTTTAAACTAACACAGAGAAGGTGGAAGTAGTGATATGTTCTCTAGACTCTACAGCTGGTAGATGAACTCCCATCATTCCTGTTGTTATCAAAAATGTCATTTAAATTAAAAAAATCATAGATTTTATATCATTTTAATAAAATGTATAACTATACTTAGACCTTGTCAGGGTACAAGCTACTTTATAAATATTAACTTGATGCTTAAAAACCTGTAATTGATCATAATTAAAGACTCTCGTGTCATAATACCTTCTATTAACACTCTCTACTAATCATTTTGTGTTAAATTTACAGTCCCCACATTATAGTTAAATATCATCAGCTCTGCGATTACGTATGCATAACCACTTTTGCCAGACATTTTTATAGAACATTGGCTCCTGTAAACAGGCTGGCCACTTTCTGAGGTATTGCTGCATGTGCCCTGCCTCAATTTCCCCTTTTCCTGGGGTCCTCGGTAACTCACAAAAAGCTTTCAATAACAATGCCCCTTCTTGGGGTCTGGTTTATGAATATATAAAATAAATTAAAAATAAAGTCTTTTCCACGCCAGTCTTCCACCCCGTCTGTCTTTTTAAAGTCCCTTTCTTTCACCCAATCCCAAGCCAGGCCCAGCCCTTCTTCCCTGAGGGTCTATCTTTCGGTTTCTCACCACTTTCTCCTTGGAGTTTTACTTCCTCATAATTTCACTCCTAACTCACAGGGCCACACTCTCCGAGCAGCTTCTGTATTCCACTTGGTGTCCTTAAGTATCCCCCTATCTCTGCAGCTTCGCGTTGCTCTTACAGGGGAATCACTTGACCCCCTGCTCAGGTGTGCCTACCTAGTAACTAGGATTGGCTGGCCCCCTAACCTGGAGCTATCCTCTCTATTCGGCCCTCACTCCCGAATATTGCCCACCACAAGACAAGTTCTACTTAAGGGAATGCTGTATTTCTTTGTTGCCCCTTACAGATTTGTTTCTCACTCTACCCTGTCCAGCTCTCCTTTTTTCTGACTATGTTCAAAGAGAAACCATTCTTTCTCCCAAGCTGCCCCCATCAGTGCTGCCTGGAGGCAAAGCCTGTCTCTCTCATCCACTAGCATGCCACTCTGCCACCCCATGCCCCGTTTATCTGAAGCTAGCTCATCACTTTCCTTCAGGGCCAGCTGCCTGGCTTCTTCCAAAGCAGATAGTTCCTTCTGATAGCTCTCCTTCAAGGAGAGTAAACCACTAATGTTCTCTCCCAACAGTATTGTATGTAATCTTTCCACATCCAGCAGCCCTGTCCTGCCACTCCTTAGGCATTTCCACAAACTGGTCCTGCATCTCCAGGACTGGTCCTGTCTCCAACTTAACATCCTTTATCTGAGCCTTCAGTGGTTCTATTTTCTCCTCTTGACATTCTGCATTAATTACCCTTCTGTATAAGGTCGGAACAGCTGTGGCCCCACAGCTACTTCTGTCTCAGACCTCAACTCTGCAGTGGTACTGGTCATCAGTTCTGAAAGTTCCTTTTCCTTCCTGAACTGGGAAAGGGCCTTTTTCAGTTCAGGCACCTAGAGCTTGCCAAGTTTCTCTAACAGCACATGTAGTACTCCCTGTGTTAATTTGCAGGTCTGGGGTCTATTCCTCTGAGATTGCCTGGTTTTCCCTGTCTCAGACCCCATCTTTCTTTTCTCCAGGGTCCTGAACCATATCTGGACAAGTCTCTACCACATGTCCTTCTGTTCCACAGCAAATGACGTCTCAGAGGGAAGAGAATCTTCTCCCACCCTTGCCCTAGCTGGATGCATCTCGCATGCCACAGGGGACACTGTTGAGCTAGCCTGTTGCTCATCTTCTTTTGCTTTTATATTGTTACAGTGCTTAAAGAGGCAGATCCTTCCTCTCGACACTTAAAACACTGGGATGGGGTCTTCTACCTCCAGACTGCCCCTGGAGGGTCTCTTCCCTGAGCCCACTTTGAGTGCACCCACTGCCCGCTGAGGCACTCCAGTTTGGGTGTGGGCTTCCCACATTTAAAGCATAGCAGGATCTTCCTTACCTGCTGGCAACAGTTCACCGCTGTGCCTTGAGCTGCACTGCCTGGGTTGCCTGCTGACTCTGCAGGAGCTGCAGAAGGAAGGCTTGAATCCTCAACTGCTGCTTGGCCAGTACGCAGACCACATCCTTCATTTTTCTCCCTCTTGACCCTCAAAACTTCCTTCATGTTAGGAGAAGGGAGCAGTCTCTGAGCCTGCTGACTATGCTAGTGTCAATGAGTGTGCTGCCTCCCATCTGCCCTCTCATGGCTTGAGATCACTCTACAGGCAGCCTGCCTCAGTTCTCCCTTCAAGGGGCTTCCTAAATAAATTCTACACTGGCTTTTTTGTCCATAATGCCCCTTCTCCCTGGGTCTAATTTATCAACATAACAAAATATTCAAAATAAAAATTCTCAAATCCCCATCCAGTCCCTGCTCCCAGTCATCCCTCTGAGAGTCTCCCAGGCCTTCTTGCCTGGAGCCATTTCCCTGAAAATTCAGGGTTCCTTGCTC